TAGGTGCAAACTGGTAGGAACCCACCTCTGTTCTGAGGTGGGTAAAATGAGGACCCGGATTGTTGGGGGCAATATGCTGACTCTGTAAACCGCTTAGAGAGGGCTGAAAGCCCTATGAAGCAGTATATAAGTCTAACTGCTATTTCTATTGCTATCATTATTTTCTTAATTTTGAATCTGTAAACAACTTATCTACAGATTTAAAATAAGAACGTAGCTATATATAAACATTAAAGCATGCATTCATATATTTGCAGAAATATATGGTGTTTTAATTCATACTGTGTAGAGATTCATATCTTATTTGCTAGGTTTTATTAAAACATGATTTGATCAGATTCCTATACAGTATATTGCAAGCATTTCTATATTAGTTCTTTCATTGTATTGAAATCTGCTCTTGTTGATCATTTTGAAGTAATTATATACTTCAGTCAGATTGAAAATATATATTGTGTTTTTTATAAATATATTCATTATTTTTTCTCTTAGTTCATCTAATTAGGGTTACATTACAATTAGGGTTGAGTTTGTGAATGGCAATGTTTTTCCTGACATAAATAACCTGGATGAATAATTAAATACATATAAACACACATTCTCTCACTCATATACCCACGCTAGTCATTTAATTATTTTATATTTGTCTGTTATAAATAGGGAATTCTTTCTTCTACAACAGGGGTGTCAAACTTGATCCTGTTGTGGGCCATGTTGGGATTTTGTTTGCCCTGGTGGAGGGGAAAGGCTGGGCATGGCCTGGTCATTGCGGCCAACTAGAGGGTGTGGTCAAGCCTGGAGTGGCAGGGGCTGACCTTTCACCATCTCTGGACAGCCCATGGACCAACTCCATGGCCTACCATGGCCCATGGGCCAGATGCGGCCCATGTGCCATATTTATGACACCCCTGTTCTACAAGATAAGGAATGCTGGTCTAAATCCTTATTTCAAGTTGTATACTATCAAATCTCTCCTGGCTTTTTGTAACATTTAAAATATCCAAAATGATGCATCATGGAGCAACATTTTAAAAAAAGTATATCAAAAGTCCTAACTTAAATATATGTACAAAATCCAGAACTTATTAGTTTTGCAGAACTGACATTTCAAGGATTTTCAGAATGGTTGTATTCACATACTTGTGTTGTTGCAACACTGGCATAGTCAGCCACGGTCATGTGATTGTGATTTCCAATGCTCTCTGCCATCTTCCCTCAAGCAAGGTCAATGGGGAAGCCAGCCCCCAACTCCCTCTAAGTCGGCCCAAAAGGAAGTTGGGGGCTGGCTTTCCCATTGTTGAATGGTATCAAATTCAAATTCAAATTTAATAAATTTATATGCCGCCAAATCCCGAAGGACTCCGGGCGATTCTGTTTCCTTCCTCTATTCTATTCTATTCTAGAAGGACTCNGGCGCGCTTTTGAAATCGCGGTTTTAGCGCCGCGGTGTTGTCGGCGCACTTATGACGTTCGCGCTTTTGACGGGTCACGTAATGTATGCCAGTGGTGGTATTCAGACAGTTCTCTCCGGTTTGAGCGAACCGGTAGCGACAGCTGTGGAAAGCTCTGCCCACCTGCCCCGACGTAATGTGCGAGCACTGTGTATGCACAGAAGGTGGTGCACATGCACAGACGCGGTACGCTCACATTTGCGAACCGGTAGGGAAGGTAAGTGAATCCTACTGTTGATGTATGCCATACACAAATGAAAGTCAACTTGATTGCCTTTAACACTGAGTGAACGGAAGCAGTACCATGTGTACGTTAACAAGCACAGAGACTTTAGATCACAGCAGTATAGACTGGTTAGGTAAATTGTAATAGCTAAGGTGCCAAACATGAAATGATGACATTCAGTTTGACTCTATCCTTAACTGAAAACTCCCTGGGTGACTTTCGAAAAGTCGTTTATTCAAAGCCAACCTAATCAAGAGTTATTATTTTAGAGACAAAACAAGGTGAGACTTACAAGTATATAACACCGAGCTTTCATTAAAAAGATGAGACATAAATGCAATAATTGAACAAATATAGTGAAAAATCGTCCAGTGTGAAATTAAATGACAACAAATCTAAAAACTTACCAAAAAATCAATGTCTCCAGGAAAGAGATTCCTACATTTGATGCTCCAACAACTACTATTCTACAATTGACAGATATCTTAGGCTCCAAGGACAACTTCCGATTGAAATGATACAGTGCATACTTTAACTACATGAGGAATAAAAAACAAAAACAAAACTCCTTAATATATTTCGATTACAAATGTGTTATAAACATGGACACAGCAATATGTGAAACTTTCAAATTGTAGAACGTATCTGGAGAATTTCAATTTTCCAACATCTAGAGAAATCAATATTCAGAGCTATTGGTATCCTTCCACTTTTTTCCCAAAGAATTCCAATTTGCCATGAAATATGTTGAAATTGTCAAAATTACTTTAAATACTTGAGGAGAAAAAGGTCCAGGAAGGATGGGAAAATTCATGGAACAAGATACTGAAGGTACAAACATATTTCCTGCAAGACAAAAATGGGAGAAATCCATACAGCTCAAAGTAGATATATGCAGAGGTGTTTAAAATGCTGAACAGAAAAAAGTGGTATGTATAGAAAGTGGGAGAAGAGAATTGCTATTAAATAAGAATACCAGGTAGTTTCCAGAAACAGAAAAGCACAGAATGAAGCTTGTGAGAAATCTCCAAAATGGAAATGTGGCTCTTGTTACATTATACCATTGGGAGAAAGAAGAAATTCCAGTTTAGGATTAGGTGAGTTACTTGAGGCAAAATCTGCAGTAGCTATGTGAACAAAGTTTTCATTATTTATATAAAATACCATAGAGCGAATGTGGCAATACTGGATTCAGGAAGCAACAATTGTAATAAGTTTGAAGCACCGCAAATCTAAACATTTTCTTACTGCAAACACCCAGTCAAAATTGAAATTAGCAACAAAGCCTGATTCTAAAATCTTGCCAGGACTCCTTTCTTTCCTTGCTCATGTAATCTTACATATACCTTTTATTAAAATAATATAAGCAACCAATTCATGTATCAATGCTAATATTCACCAATTTGTTAGTCTATATAGAATTCCACTTCGTACAGTTCAGATCTGTCACTTTTGTACAAGAAAAAATATATTGAAATTATATAAAAAATTTTATCAGCACTGCAATCCATACAAATCATCATCTTCTTCATCCCACCCACTATTTATATTGGGTACAGATGAAACTATGGGATAAATTAAACAAAGAATATTTCATAAAAATTCCAACAAAAGAGAATATTTGAATAGCTCAGGGTTGAAATGAGAGGTCCTTGGTGCTCTCAAGGCCCCCCTGCAAAGCAGGGATCAGGGACTAACATTCCCCTCAACACTGAGTGGAACCAGATCCAAAGAAAGAAGGAGAATCACAACAGAACTTCCAACACCCTAAGCTAGTTCAGAAAGATTCCATGATCAATGGGTATCGAAGGCTGCCAAGATGCCAAAGGGGGCCAAGATGAATATATTACCCCCATCCTGGGATGCCACATCACCAAGTGCAACCAAACTTGTCTCAATACAATATAAGCAACTGTGATCAAAGATGTCTCAAACCAGTATTCTAGTTTGAAATTAGACAAGAAGGGGTCCAGAAGATCAATTTATTCTAGGATCTTTTGAGCGATAGGCTGAACACTTTCTCAACAACCTTCCACAGAAAGGAGGCTTAGAAACTGAACAGAAATAGTCCAAATCTATAGGATCCAGATATGGTATCTTGTGAATGAGATGGACTATTCTTCTTCCAGAATCGACAAGGTTATCCTATCTTTCAAGATAGCATTCACTATCATAGATTTTCCCACCCAATCCATTTCCTCAGAAGTAACAGGATTAACTCCTTGTAGATCAGGGGTGTCAAGCTCAAGGCCCAGGAGCCAGATCCGGCCTGCGGGGTGATTAGATCTGGCCCATAAGGCTGCCCTGGAAACAGAAAAGGTCATGCCTCAACTCTATTGAACTTGCTCAACTGGAATCCATTGTAGAACAAACCCAAGCAATGTTGCCCACTGTCAAAACAGAGTTCTCAATAACCTTATAGGTATTCCTGTCCCTCCTGACCAAGAAGTGACTGGGTTACATTGAACAGAGCCATCGTTTGACACTTAAAGAACAACAACAACAAAAAGGAGAAAAGTGTTTCCCTATCATATCACAAGAGAGGCCATAATGAATGCTCTTACTTATATTAAGTCGAATTTACTTCTAACCTTTCCCCAGTGATACTCTGGATATCTCTTTTGCCATTTCATCATTTGTAAGGGCTCCATCAGAGTTTGCAAACAGAAGAGTTCCACATAGGTGCAGTCCAATCTAAAGGCATTTTTGCCCCCTTGTTCTAAATGATGACTAAGGCCTCATATGGACTGTGCATCAGAACCCCAGGGAAAACCTTGTGTTCCCTCTGAAACCCACTGAGCCTATTAAGTGCCTGGGGAGAATCAATCAAATATGGCAAGCCTGGAGGTAAGGGCATGTTGCAGTAAATTCTAAATTCAACAGGGAATCATCTTTTCATGACAGATGGTAATATACCCCAGACCATATTGCTACCACAGTGAGACAAAAGTAATGTATAATATGTGACAATCCCCATTGTGAGATGGGTCTGCCTGCTGCAATGCTGGCCATGAACATGAAGGCTTTCTCTACGCCCAGACCCAAGGAAAGCAGATTGAAATCCTCTAGGACCATAAATCTGGAAACACCAGTAGACAGAGCATAAAGTTATTTTAGACAAGGCAAGTGCATGGTTGCAAACTCCTCTTTGGAAAGGTCTATTAAGGCCATCCACTTCATATTCTCATCATGCTCACTACCTGGAGATAACAAAGGTAGGCAAAGTAGACAAGCTGCAGTTACATTATGAGAACCAGGTTTATATTCATCTTTGCATACAATATATTAGTCCATCAACTGATAACCTTAATTGCTGATCTTCCATATTCCAGATGGCAGTCAGTCTGTTACGAACACTATGATTCCATAGAAATGCTTTTTTTTTTTTTTGTATTACACACATGGGCAAATGCTTTTTTCAACAGAAGAACAGACTTTTTCTGTCTCTTGTAATTTTCCAGATGGGAATACAACAGCATTTTAAATTTTATCTGTATTAACATGCTTAAATATTGTTTTAAATATGTAAACAGAAGTGCCTATATTTCCAATATTAGATAAAGCTTTGTCAAATAGAGACGCTGCGAGACCTACTATGACTTCACAGACTCAAAATCACATTTGGAAATCTTTAGGTGGTAAGACTTCTATAAATGCTTTTATGAATAATGAGTAATTAATGCAGTGAGATATCAATCCCTGTTTTATAATAATATTTGATAAGCCTTTGAAAACCCAAAATAAAGGATGTATTTCATGAAATTCACTAAACTTATTTTATGCGAGGGAGGAGATGGATATCCATTACTACTAGCATGTGTTAGAGATGAAATGATGTTTGTGCATTATCTCCCCAATATGAGTTATTATTTTCTCTGCCAATTGATTCTGTTTCAGTCCTTCTGTCATTTGTTCAAAAATAGCAGCAATACACAAAACTCTTCTATACAGTTTTTGCTGATAAAATTTATAATACGTCCCAATTTTAACTTTCAGCACTCACACAATTCTTAACACTAATCCTTAATATAGACCATGCCATCTCTTCCAACTGGCAAATCTTAAAAGAAACCTCTGAGATTCCTTAGCCCAGAAAATTCTTCATCTTGTAGCCAACAAATAAATGGCGAACTTTTTAATTCAAGAAGAGAATTACAGATTTACTCAGCTTTTTGGTACACCAATAGTAATTCTCACTGCTTTACTACACTGTATACAATTAAAAGTATTTATTTGTTTATTTATTTATGCAGGAACCCGTTAAACCAGTTAAAATCAAAACAATGCACTTCCTCTCAAACTCTTGCCAGAACTCCTACATATGCCTCAGCTTTCTATAGTACCACAGTTTGCCCACAAAGCATACTAATCCTACAATCAGTCTATCAGTCAATACTCCAGCCAGACCTTACCTATATAGCACTAACAACAGCAAATGACATTGCCCGTTGCAAAACATATAGAATTAGTTTTATAATTCATGGAACAGTATATTCTTTAGTACTGTGCAGTCTCTTTCTTTTACAGGATTTGAAAGTCAAGACATTTGATATTTAGGGAGATTGGAGTCAAGTTTGACTACTGCCTTTTTATTTAATAGCATAAATGGTAAATGATTCTTTGGCTAACTATGAGAGCCCTAAAGTTGTGTCTGGATCTCTTATATGATTTATCATCAAGATTAAAGTACTAAGAGAGGTTTGAAGTTTTGAAATTGGGTCTCACTAGTAAATCAGTGATAGCTATCTCATTCCCGCTGCCCACCCCCATTCTACTAATGTTAAGAAGGTATTGGACTTTTTGAACTGTTTTTGAGAGCATATTAATGAGGCAGATTTGAGATACTATTCAGATACACCCATTGCTCATTATACTTTTTTGCAAGAAACACTGGAATAAAAGTTCAAATATGAGGATGTAGTCTATATTTCTCAGGAAAATATTTTTTTTCAAAAATGTATATGCATGCTTGGCTAATTGGAGACTGAAAAATGTTTTCAGATTTATTTTTTTTAAATAATATTTGGCAGTGCAATCATGACATCCAGTGGCCAATGTCAGTTAAAATTAATAAAGTTAAATGACTATAATACAATGATGCTATAAGGTAAATTGCAAATTGTTTGATTATTCAGTAATTGGGATTACATCTTTTACTAACAAAAGATATAGCCTTAGTTTATTGACCAAATTGCATGAGGTGGGTTCACACAACACAATAAACTTTAAACAGTAATGTACTAAACATACGAATAAGGTTTATGCAATAAGTTAAACCAATCAGTATACAAGATGAACTCTCTGAATTAGTGAACTGTACTAAGGCATGGTTTGTTTTAGCCATGATATACAATAAGTAACAATAACTGAGTTTCCAAAGAATATGGAAACCAAGTATTTAAACTTGCTCTATGCTAGAGAATGAATGAAGTAATGAGAAAGATGCTTGCAATTTAAATATTGTTCCTTCATGCACTGTCAGGTAAGTTGCAAGAGTGAGAGAAGACATCATTCTCCTTTTCTATTAGAGAAGCC